GAAAACCAAGAGACAGTTTTCTTTGAAAACCCTGATTTAAGAAGCCTAATCTTTAGAACATCATGATCAACCGTGTCAAACGCTTTTGACAAATCAATAAAAAGTGATGCACAGTGCTGCTTCTTGTCACGAGCAACAGAGATATCATTTATCACCTTCATTGCAGCTGTGATGGTACTATGTTTTTTTCTAAAACCTGACTGAACTGGGGATAAAATGTCCTGGGCGTGCAAGAAGTCTTTCATCTGATCACTCACCAGGGATTCAAGCATTTTGGCCAAAACAGACAAATTAGAAATTGGTCTATAATTATTTAAATTTGACGGGTCACCCCCTTTCAGTAATGGACAAACAAATGCAGATTTCCAGATTTTAGGAATAGTGTTGCTCTTTAAAGTAAGGTTAAAAAGGTACGTTAGAGGCTGTGCTACACAATCAGCAGCTATTTTTAAGAAATAGGGTTCTATAAGATCAGGTCCTGGGGGTTTTTCAGGAACCAGTCCTTTTAGGGCTTTTTGAACGTCAGCCACTGAAAATGGAACGAGATTAAAAACACCCGTAGTGACTGGCACATCTCCATAGGGTGTCACAGCATAAGGACAAACAGTGTCAAACAAAGAACCTGACTGAATAAAATGCTCATTAAAATGATTCAGTATCTCTAGCTTGTCATAAACTACTACAGACTCTTTCATAATAGAAGAAGGAACATTGATACTATCTTTGTTAGAAGAAAGTAATTTTATAGCCTTCCAGAATTTTCTGGGGTCATTTAAGTTATTAGTAGTGACTGACAGATAAAAATCAGATTTTGCTTTCTTAATAGAAGAAGAACATTTGTTTCTTAGCCGTCTAAAAGCAAGCCAATCAGACGAAGAGCCCGTTTTTCTTGCTTTGGCCCAAGCTAAATTGCGGTCATGAAGAATATCTCCAAGCTCAGAGGAAAACCAGGGATTATCCCGCCCCTTAACTCTAAATCTCTTTAGTGGGGCGTGTTTATTTATTACTTGCAGAAAACTATCCCGGAAAAAGATCCAGGCTGACTCCACATCGGGAATCAGCTCCATTCTACTCCAATCACAATTAAACAAATCATGGCAAAAGCCCTGTTCATTAAAATTTTTAAGATTTCTCTTACATATTACACGAGGTTTACCTTTAGGCAACTTAGTATTCCTTACAGCAGTGATAACGCAGTGGTCACTTAGGTCATTGCAAAAAACACCAACAGCAGAAAATTTGTGCGGGACATTAGTCAAAATTAAATCAATTAATGTGGATTTCTCATGGCACTTAAGATTTAAACGAGTGGGAGAGTTGATTAATTGTGTAAAATTGACAGAATCACAAAATGACTTAAATTCATCTGAGTAAGGTTTTAGCCAGTCCCAGTTTAGGTCACCTGCTAAAATAATTTCAGAGTAGTCCAATCTGGATAAGAGTTGAATAAGTGTCTGCAATGCAGTACTGAGGGCAGAAGGAGGCCTATAACACCCGACAACAGTAACATAAAGGCCCTTGGCCAACTCCACCCTCACTGCCAAAAATTCCAGCTGCTTACCAACTGATTCTGAATGGACTAACTTCATATTAAATTTAGATTTAGCATAAATAGCAACCCCACCACCCTTCCTTAATCTGTCAGTACGAAACACATTATAACCATTTAATCCGATGTCCGAATCAGTAATTGATTTTGTCAGCCAGGTTTCAGACAGCACAACAATATCTGCATCTGTTAAATTCACCCAAATTCTAAGCAGATCCATTTTGGGTAACAAACTGCGAACATTTAGGTGAATTACACTCAAACCAGACATGGATTTCACATCAGATGGCAATGAAATACACTGCAACTCAGGACCTGGATTTGGCTGAACGTTGCCAGACAAAAGCAGCAATAAGAATATTAACCATCTCTGTTTACCATCAGTATACAACAGATCTGTAGAGTTTTTAAAATGAAAGTCCCAGAAATGTCTGTCATCAAATGCAAAATAGTCATTTAAAATCAAGAGATTTTGAAGCTGATGAATATCTCTGGGTAGAAACCAGGCTAAATTTAAGTCCTTTGCCAACTCTTTCGGCATTTGAGGGGAATGCACAAAGGCTGAACAGTTGAATCCATAGGCTACATCCAAAGAGCCATAAATGTTGTAAGATGTACTCACCGAGTGTAAATCACTTGATCTTAGATTTTGCACAAACAATGAGCAAAGCAACATTAAAAGAAAAGCCATGTTAGCAGAGGATGTTTGCAAAACCCGAATGAGCTGACAGGGCCTCAGGATCCACGCAGAGCCTGGAGTTGTTAGCTGGGCTGCCAGGGTCCGGAGAAGCCAGCAGAACCCCAAGATCCAAGTGAAATCTGGAAGGTCTCTATTTAACCAGCCTTTAGACCAGTTATCAGTGCCAGATTATTCAAGCCTGAGTTGAGAGTTCTCCAGTGTACCTTTATTTCTGATTGCCTGATCCTGACCAATCCTGCCTCTGGACCTCTGAGCCTGCCTGTCCCCACTCTGATCTGCTTGCCTGATCTGTCTTCAGACTCCTGCTGAATTCGGCCTGTCTGTTTACCAAACCTATAACTGTTTCCCAGGTCCGTTCTGGGTCCCCCCTTTGCATCTCTTTGGAAACTTTATTGATCTCACTATGGAAAAATTTACTCTCTGCTTTTAACCCATCCTCTTTGGGGAGCAGAGAGTGCAATCAGAGGTTAAGGGTTTTGTTCAGAGACCCAGAGTGGCAGTCTGTGGGAGTGGGGCTCAAACTCAGAACCTCAGGATTCCAAGCCCTATGCCCTAAACACTAGGCTGCCACTCCTGCAAGTTTAATTAATAAAAAAACACTTAACCCATTGGCTAAAACAGAAGCTACAGATCAAACATCTTCAGGGAAGGAAGAAGATTATGATCTCCGGGCTCTGACTACTGAGCTCATCTTCAACACCAGCTTTAACTTCGCCCTCTGGATCATCCAGCCTTCCTTCATCTGCTTGTTTCTGATCTCCTGCACGCCCTCCGACCTCCAAGACATCAACTTCTAGGACTCTCTGGGCGGCTCTCGCTGCCTCTTGTTGGCAGCCGACTGACTGGAACCAGCCTCATCCTCTGGGCACCGACTTAACTATAAGTCTAGGCTAGTGACTCACACGTTCATTATCATCCTTTGCCAGATAGACGTGATCACTAACCTGTGTTCTCCGTCTGCAGAGGTTCCTGCCTTAGACACCGACGCTGTTCATTGCAGTTCCATTCATAGTAAGCATTTTAAGAAATTTTATTTTCTATCCGTCTTGAATATTGTTCTGAGCCCGACAGTTGCTTTGGTTTCATTGTGAGAAAAGAAGCTCTCAAAGAAGCTCTGAATATCATTTTTTGGCAACATTTTTTTGGTGCTTAAGGAATGATATAAAGAAATGGGACCCTAAAAGTTTAAGATCCAAATTGAAAACCTTTATTCACAATTTCAGATAGTGAAGATATCCAAATGTATGATTAAATCACATTATTAAGAACAAGTCGCAGTGCAGTGAAAAAAAGTCAAATGGAAGGCTTTTAGTAGTGCAACTTAGGGGGCACTTGAGTTTGTCTCCCAAACTCAAGGTGTCATCTGTGTTTCTACTCATAGTTTTCTGAGTAAATTGTTAAACATAATTTAGTGTGAGATACACTGTTAATATGGAAATAGCTTATTCTGTTGAAAACTTTCCTAAATTGTCAGATCCCTCTATAAAAGTAGTCAAAATGTTGATTCGTAGCAGTACTTTCAAAAATCTTTAAACAATCCCAAATGCTTTTGGTTTGAAATTGTTTTATATACACTCCATACAGACAGTTTAATCAATAGAAATGAAGAAATGTAGGGCTCACTTTATGCCCAAGGGCAGTTTTACATGTGAAGCATTGAGCTGGTATCAAACGGTCAACCTTCCCTTTGACAGATGACTGCACCACTCCTAAACCATAGCTGCTCTAAACAAAGCCATTTTTTTTATTCTTTTAGTTGTTTTTTTTTCTACTACAGCCTGTATTAGAGGCTTCTGGATTCACTGTTATTTTCCATTCTGAAAAACATCTTTGTATTCCCACACTGCAAACATAGCAGCTTTACCTTTCTCTGAATAACTTCTTTCATATACCTGCTACAATGTATTTTTCTCCCATTATCAGCAAATGACTGTTTTTGTCTTTCTTCAAGATGAAATAGTGAACCTAATGTAAATCAGAAAATAGCCAGAGGCTTATACTCAATAGAGCTTGTCACTCAAATATAATTGGCTCAACAATGGGAAGAAACAGATTATGAAAATTCTCAGGGAAAAGTTATTGATTTAAAGGACATTTGTATCCACAACTACATGGTAAAATAAAACAAATAGGAGCCAATGCTTATTTTTACAAAAAAAAAGTTTTCACACCTTTAATGTGATCTAAACTGTTACAGCAGTGTAAATCACAAAGTTATGGTTAAACAGTACAAAACTACAGGCATGGCTTTACTACAGTGCTAATTAATATTAGGTTTCTGTTTGTGGGGTTTTTTTATTTTATTTTTTTATTTCCACCTCCAGACGGTGCTCTTTCCCTGTTCTGGCTTGGAGGGCGGCTTCCGGGTTTTTTCCTTCTCACCTGCGGCTTGTTGGGTCATTACCAGAGGAGTATAAGAGCAACGGATTGTCACCACCACGACGCCAGAGTGTTTGCCAGTATTGTCTATTCTAGCCTCCTGAGATTAGCTGAGTCTAATTCTTGCCTTTGTCTCTCTGAGCCTAAGCTTTGCCTTTGTCTCTTTTTGTGTTCTCCGGTAGGAAACCCTCCTTATCCGCTGGATAAGCCTGGTCCTCCTCTTCCCTTGGAAGGAAAAACTTTCATCTCTCTCTGAGCAAGGGAAAACCTTCATCTGAGCCGTTCAAGCCAGCCTCTGGAAAACCCAGTGACAGTCCGTTCCTTTGCTCCTTGGACCCAACTCTAGTCTGCCTGTCCACCCTCCAACGATCTTCTGCACCTCTGGACTAAGTCCCCACAAACAGGACCCAAGGATCACCAAGAAACCCCCAAACGTGAGTCCACTCAAAACTATTCATCAGCCTTGTTCAGTTTCCCTACGGACCGTGAACTCTTCCTGCGATCTCCCCCTTAGAGTTTCCGGTTAACCTGACCACTGGGTTTTCAACTGAGAAATGCTATCTATCTCTCTCTCTATGCATTGTAACCCTCACCAAAAAACCTGTTAACTTTTGCCAGCTCTCTGAGTGTTTTTCCTGCATGTGGGTTTGATTACTCAAACCCATTATAACAACTGATGACATCAGAGGTACAACTTTATATAAAATCTTAAAAACTAATGTGGTACAACCCTCCTTAAAATTGTACAGAGATTCTAGTTTACCATTCCTCCACATGCAATCCTTCTAGATTGTCCAGAGTACTGGGTCTTCTCTTCCTCTTCAGCCCCCTCCCACATGTCTATTGTATTCAGGTCTTATGACTAGGGTGCCTATTGAAGCAGCGTGATATTGCATATGATAAATCGTGTCTGTGTTGGTCAGATGATTGGCCTTGGATCCTTGACCTGCTAATACATTCAGTGACCCAATCTTCACATTAGTTGCAATTGCTACAAGATTTTTGATTAACAAATTAAAAGGTAATCCAACCAGTTGATAGTACCATGCACTCTAACAAGGTTTTCTTGGGATGAGAAATAGGTCCACAGCTTCACAGAATCACCTACTTTTATTAAAAGTGGCACAATGATGATTTTTTTTCAATTATCGTTTGATCAAATTATTATTAGCTACAATAACCAGACAGCAAATAAGGTCTTAGATTTTACGCTCAGCGTCTCTTCCTTTGTGTTCATGCATCTAATCTATCTTGTGTTGCTTAAGGCATTTCATGGCATGAATAGAAGTTCCCTGTGCCATTTTAAGGGTCCCTAACCTGTCGTTATTCTCTCAGGAATAATTAATTGATATCAAGAATCAATTATTTAAACGATTATTGATTTCTGATTAGGCAAATCATTCTTTAAAATATTATTAACCAAAATCATGTTTTATTAAACTCTTGGATTTGCATAACCCATAAGAACATACCCAAATTGTTCTAAATTAGTTTAAGAGCTAATTTAACCTCACTCCAAATTCTTCAAGATAAGCTTTGGCTCAGAATCATAAAAATCAAGCATAACTGAGATATCAATGCATTGCATTGGCCAGTTGATCAGGGATTCCAACTGTTCTAGGGGGGATTTCATTCTATGTGTAGATAGTGAATATTAAGTTAGTTAAGTTTCACAAGCTTAGTTAAGAGTTTTAACCTTTAGTTGAATACTACATGTCATAAAATTCCTATATATTTTGAATGTAAGTTGTTATGGATTAATTCCATATGAGTGCAGATAAGTGTTTGACCTTGAATCTTGACTTACATCTGTTGTCCAAACAGTCATTTGGGAGTATGTTCACAGGAAAACACAATCAGTTCCAAGGTTCTTGGACTAAATATTAAGTAACATAAATTCATAAAGATGCAAAACAGTTATAGTATAACATCAGGACCTTTAGCAGTAGGATTTGGAGTGTTTTTTCTTGTACATGTTGTGGATACATGGCTTCTATAATATATGAATATGCTTAGAAAACAAACCTAGTGTGCTACAATAAAAAAAAATTGGAAGCTGACCAACAAAATGTATGCAGCTAAATAGAATTTTGATTTAATTAATATAAAGGAATTGTCAGACAAACCAATATTTTTTACAATATTTTTTTTCTTGATTTACCATGAATTTTTAAATGATTATGAGATAGTTTTGCAACAAATTGATATGGATTTGAGGGTGTATTCCCATCTAAGAAAATTCATGCAAAGTTTTGAGCAGCGATTGGTTTAATCAAAGATGAGCATATTCAGAATTTTAGTCTTCCCAGAAAAGTAGAAAACTTTTAACTGGTCGTGTAAACAACAACAGCATGTTTGTTTCTTCTATTTCAAAAAACATGATATCAAAAATGGGTTCCAAATAAGAGGAGTTTGAAAAGATCCTGATCTCTGAAAATAGGAAAAACTAAATCTCTCTAGCAGAGGCATATGTGCAGTATAGCTGCAATCATAAGAAATAAGGGAGTATTTGTACACTTGTGCATGTTGTTAAATTTCAAAGATCAAACCACCTACTAGTGGAATGGCAGATAAATCACACCATTTTTGGCTTTTTTCTAAGTGTCTTGTGCATGTTGTTTCATAACTGAAAGATTTACAGGTCTGTGTGTTACCAAAAAATGAAAAAAAATAAATGCTGCTTTTTATGCACAGTACTTTCAATGAACAGATTTCCACTAACTGTAAAATCCTTTCTGCACCTAGGGAGTTTTTGCTAGATTCACCAGCAGTAGGGGGCTGGATGTGACAAGTGTGGAGTGATATGTCATCAAGAGTGACAAAGCCTTAATTCATTTTATGATAAACAGGAGGTGTAAACTTGCATGACAACACAAGACAAACAACAAGTTTGAAATCACTAGTGGGTCGAGATTTGCACAAAGGAGAATTACACCCTACCAGCGCCTCATCAGCCAACCTCACAGTCGCAGCATATGTAAATCCTACAAGTGAGGCAGCGTCTGTCAAAGCTGTCTAAACATTATTCTGTAGAGACTTCATTCAAAGCAGGAATGAAAAAGACACCTTATACTGCTGCTTTCTTCTCCTCTAAATGTACAGCAACATGTAATACATTTTTGTCTCTATCGTAGTTTGTCCATCTGCTATACTGTTTAAACAAAAACAGGGGTTTATAATGCTGTCTGGCAATTTTGTAATAGAGGCATTCACTGCCCTGTTTTTTTTTTTCTTTTTTTTTTGTGCACCCAGAAGCATATGTTTTCCTAAACCACATCAATGAAATGCATTCTAACTGGATTTTTTGCTCCAGGTCTATTTTTAAGAGTAGAGTTACCATGGTAACTTGAGCTGCAGGTATTGCTTGTTGGAAGTGTTTTTTGAGGTCTAGCTATAGAGTTAGAAACAAAGAAAAAATTATAATGAAACAACCACCTCACCTTAAATCTTTTTAGCAACAGTGTCAGTGGGAACATGAGAGAACTGTTTGAACTGGGTAATTTGTACTTGATGGGTTATAGAGAAAAGTGTCAGTGCTGAAGTTATTTGATGGATGAAAGCATAGACTTGGCAGAGCAAGTAAGTTGTGAGTTTATCTCATTTACACTGTTTATCTTTTGGGTATTTTTGAAAGCTGGCTCAAAGACTGGTAATAATGTGTAAAACCATCTCAGTGATCGTAATTAGAACTGCATTGTAAGCCAAGGTCTGGGATGTGTGGATGCTTTAGAGACATGATGCTTTATTAAAAAAGTTTGTTTGACAAAATGCTTTACAGGTGCAAAGGTAGGAGTTTATTAATTATATTTGTTTTCACTGCTGTGAATTTTCTTCAATAAATGGTAAAATTAAGCCAACCCAATCATTGTAAAGGGTCAGAACTGAGTGAAATAAATAGTATCCCTTCTTAAAAGGGTACATAAGATGATGTGATTCAGAGCATTAATTTGGTCTTACTTGTGACATTTTTTCCCAACACTGTTGTTTCTTAATCTGATTTCAAGCAGCAGAACCCAATAAACTAAAACAAATAAAATATTTTCACTCTTCTAATACTGTACCTATTTTATTATTGTTTGTTATTTTATTGCCCCTGTCTCAGGGAGACACCTACAGGTTTACTTCACAGTTGTTTAAAGGTATTGTGGAGGATTTTTTAAAGACCTGCCCCGTGTCATGGTTTGGGTTCTGTTCAAGTTTTATCTCTAAGTTTTCATTGGTCTTATATCCATTTTTGTGTTCTAGTTTTTTTGGGGGGGGTTTGCATCTGAGTTCTTAGATATTTTTTTTTGCCCTCTTGTGTCAGTCTCCTTCTCCCTAGCTCCCTTCTTGCCTCTGTTCACACCTGCTCCCTATCTGCTAATTAGCCTGGTCTTTTTTTCTCCCTCCCATATAGGCTCTGTTCGAATTCATGGGCTGCGATTTTTATTTTTTAATAGCTATTTTGCACAAATTGCTTAACTAAGTATGTTTTTTGTTGAATATAAGAGATTTTGAAGATATTTTTTATACATACATTGTTTAGATTTAGACAGGGGTAGACATGTTTAGATTTAGAATAAAATACTGTACTGTAAAGTGTTTTAACAACATGGAGAATAAATAACCAGAATAACGCTATGGACATTTTTCCAGTAATGGATATTTGAAAATAGCAGCAACATCAGAGATGTGCAAAATGACAGCACCATATTATTTAACTGACTTAGGTTTATATCATTACATTGGCTTTTTTTGTTTATGCTCCCGGTGGTTAGCACCTTTATTCTACTCTGGATTCTCATGAGTGTAGTCTTTGATCCCTTTACAATAAAAAAAAGAAAAGAAAAATAAAAAAAAGGAACAGTTTTGAAAAGTTCGGTATTCATTCTTTTCCTCTTTGTGTGTCAACTGTCACGTTTGCTAAGCGACAGCGTATGGCAGTAAAAGCCACCGAAGGGTAGACCTGTTTAAATTCACAGCCAAAACTCTTCTGGTCTCCTTATTGGATCCTTACTTCAAAGGATCCAGTCCAGGTAGACCGCGTCCTTGGAAGACGCAGCCCATAAATTCGAACAGAGCCATAGTCTCCTCCTGTTCAGTCACTTTTTGCTGGTTTTATGTAATTTCTTTTCCCTCTTGTTGTGAGTATACCTGGTTTTCAGTATTTTTGGATTTTTGTGGATTTATGTTTTTGGAGTTTTGCTTCTGTAGAACTTTTTTGGTTAATAAATCTTAAAGTAACCTCCTTCAGCTTCAGTCTGCATTGGGGTCTTCCTGTCAAACCTCCACCCCATGTGACAAAGAATATGCACAAGCCCATTTCTCCTCATGCACACCCTGTTTAAAATGTGCTATTCTCATAGCTCATACAGGCTTACTGTTTCCACATACTGTACAGCAGGGACTATATAGTGGACTTTAACGCAAACTCAGTTAACTGATCATTCTAACA